ATGTTTGTAAATCCCAGGCCCTGAAGATGATCTCAATAAAAGATCGAAACGTTGGCACGATAAAGAAAATGTTTTTCTGAAACCTACATCACACCCGACCGCATCTCACGATATCTGAATAACTAAACACCACACAATGTTTAAATGTTAAAGAAATATGTTTGCTATTGAAAATTTTTCACTACTTTATTCTACAACCGACTTCAAGCGACCAACCTACAGGTGCCTCACCTCGCAGACCATGAGGAAATATCACGAAAAATTAAAGCATGAAGAAAGATGAGAATATATATAAAATTAGTCACAATCCTTAATTATTTTTACTGAACTGACCCACGCGATTGCAGTATTAGAGAGAAATGTTAAAATTCATGTTAACGATTAATATTAACGTTTTATTTAATATATCTTCTACTTTGATTGAATCTGTCGAAAAATCGATTTGAGGGTTTTTCCGGGTTCTCGAGTTTGTAAAGATTTTGAAGAACATGGACGCCTATAAAACTGTACCAACGTCTGGGTTGTGTGTTTTAAGAAAACAAAAGCAGATAAGTTCGTACGTTTCCGTCTGTCAATACACTTTATTGTGCTGCTGTTATACCTTTTACCCGATGGTACCTTCAGGAAAAAGCAACGGAAAACGGAATAAAAATATAAAATCAACCTCAAAGGGGCCATGTGCAAAGGTAGGTCTGAAAACAGGTTGTAATATTAAAAATAAACTATAACGCGAAAAAAAATCAATAGCGTATGCATTGTATGAGATGATGATTTATGTTATATTCAAAACACTGCGGATTCTCTTTTTTTCTTCTTTTCATAATGCGTTGTAGACTTATAAGAAGATTTTGTCCTTTCTTATCAATATAAAATATGTATTCAAATATGTATCTGTTTCGAAAGGTGTTCATTTCGCTTTTAACGCCTTTAAAGGTTTATAAATTTTAGGCTCAATTAATCAATTTTATTAATGCATGGTTTTTAAATTAATATCAAATAAGCTAATAAAATGTCTGAACAAATAAAAATGTTTTTATTGTTAATCTGCTTTATTGAACAATTGTCTGAAATTTGATGCTACTTGGTCCGCGTATACTTTAGACGAATCGAAGTGAACAAACATAGTTCATCAAATCTTCAAGTAGTCGTTTTTCAGAAATATATTTTCTATCAGAATAATGTGTTTTCTTTCAAACACTTCAATTGTTCAAAACTTAATGTAACTTATACCACATATTTCCAGGCGATGAACCTCGGCCTAGTTTACGCTCACAACAAAACCACCGGCCTCATCATATCCGAAGAGTACAAGATTTGCACGGTGAAAACTCCGGTGCCCTACTCGTTTGAAATCTCTATGATTCTCTTTTTCTTCTTTCCAATGTCGATAATCACAGTCCTTTACGTCCTAATCGGCGTCAGGCTGCATAAATCGTCGGGAAGGAAGGCCAGTCATCGACTAAGGGATTCGAGAAGGAACAACAATGCAAAATCAACCACCAGGGTCGTCAAAATGTTAGGTAATTATACAGTTTAATAATTTATTACCAAGTTAATTATTTATGTTTGGCTTGCAGTTAACGCCTACAGTAAAAATACTCATACTGCAATTTTTCTAGATAATATTTGTTCAAGTTTTTCTATTCGTCTATATGCCTACATTCATATTGAAGCTTTGGTTAGGTTATACGGTTAGACTTTAGTAAAAATCAGTACAAAAATTCCTATGAAATGTGAAAAGTAATTGTGCTGTTTTCCCGAAACATCATATTCAATTAATCCTATTTTCCACAGTAAAAACGTAGTAATTGATTTTATTGTATCAAGTTACATAGCTATTTGGGCGGAAGTGCTTTTGACGTTTCAACCGAAATTGTGTTGAACACCAGATGTTGGCGTTAATTTTGTTTTTATTGATGAAGCAAGGTGGATTACTTTACAACACTGTTTATTAAAGCGTTTACAATATTTCTCACAGGCTTTGACTATTTCCCGTAATTTTTCCTTTTTTTTCTACAAGTAAGTTAACGATGTAGGCAAAGCGAAATATCTCAGGAAGAAAACAATACATAACAGTGATCATCTGCACTATTATCTACAACAATGCAGGCAATTTTCACTCTTTCATTATTCATACAATTTCTCCTAGTCCTAAACTGTAATTTGTTTTTATTTTCGATACACCTTTAACGGTTAATCGGTCAGCAAGGGGACGATAAGTAAGTGGGATTAAAATTCTCGGTTGCTGAATTCCTAATGACAGTACAGCGTCGATATTTTCCCTACCTACATCAACTGATGACAGGTTGACATTAAAATAATTCGAACATTTCAGTTCAGTCAGCGGAAAAAATAGCAATAATTTGTCAAAACAGCAACTTCACAATAAAAATCTATAAGCTATGTTGTTTTACATATCGAAACGAAATTTAACGGAACTAATTGTCTGTCTTACTGTTTACATTTTATTAATATATCACTTCTTCATTGGAGAATTGATTAACGTCAATCGTTGTTTTTTTTTTCAATATAAATTATGTCAACTTGTAAAATTGTGGTTATTTTATATTAGCAAATAAACTGAGCGCCATTATCGAATTCATTCAAATTATAAAAGCCAACAAAAATTTTTCTTGTGATAAACAAACATTATTAAATTATGAAATATAGGGTTAAAGCTTCTTTTTTTATTTATTGTATTCATTGGAAATTCGTTAACAAGCTTACGACTATTGTGTAGAGATTAGTGAATGTTAATCGATAGTTATTCAGATATCGTGAGATTTTAAATTATCTTTGGGTTTCTGAACTGCCTCTTAATAATCGAGAGACACCAAGGGACAGGGAAACGAGTGTGTGTTTTAGTAGTTTTGTTAGTATGGCTTCATGGGCTACAATATTTATTGATTTATTAAGGCAGTCAATTACATTGTCAATGTTATCATCATTCAAATTGATGTCGCTTAGGTTAACCGATTTTGTCACAGCTAGGTTTGTTGAGCTGCCATCGTTTGGGTAAGGAAATTGCTATACTTCTATCAATTCCATTACTATAGGGAAATAGTGTAGTGAGAGTTTACAAGAACATGCCTTGTGAAGTGTGGATAGAGAATGGGGCTGACAACAATGAGGTCTATGAAGGAACATTTTCCAATTCGTGAACAGAACTATGTGGGACTTGCAGAGATTAAAATATTGAGACTACTAGTGTTCAACGAATGTTTCAACACAATAACCATGTTGGTTTGTGTATTCTCCTCCCAACTATACACTGACATCCCCAAGGAACATTTCCGGATGGGGCAGATGGTTGAATAGATATTTGAGTATATCAGCGAATGTATTCTGATTGGAAGGTGAGTATATTGAACAAATAATGATGGGTTTTGGTGCATGATTTCTAGCTACTTCATCATGTTCTTATCTGTGAGGGAGTATGTCTTGATGGATCATTATACAAATTCCTTCGCATAATATTAGACCTCCAGTGAAGTCATTACCTTTATTTTTAAATTTAGCATTCGAAATTTGTCTTAGGTTTTTATGTGATTTCTTGTAGCCAAGCAATTTGATACTATATTGACCAAGTACTATTTAATAAATAATAATAATCATATGAATTGATTAAATTATCTTATGATTAATTACATTCTAATTTTAACATTGATATTTTGTTGTATGTAAATGTTTTAAAAATTACTTAGTTTGATAGCATTTTTTGGTTTTTTGGATTAAGTTTTGTTGTATGTTTTATATTCGTTGTTATAAGAGGGAGAATAGTCATTCATAGTTTTTGTATTATTTCTCAACTTTAGCGTCATTAAAATGCAAATCTGAGCTTTATTTCACAACCAAATTAAATTTTCCACACGATAAAAACATTTCCGTTGAAAAATTCGTGCTTCCGAAAACACAGTATCCCGCTCAAAGAATAACAAATAGCAAACCTATGGGTTTTTTAAATGCTGAATTGAGGCTCCTGCAACGACTTTTCTATCTCAAAACTTGCCATATTTGATAAGTTCGGAAAATCTTTTTCTAAAGATTGGAGCAAAGCTGTTCACCATCTACAGACTTAAAGCGTATTGAAGTTTTAAAGCTTTCATTTTGATCGTTTTCACCAAGTGATATATATTTTTAATAATATATATAAAAATATTGTACATTAATTTAATAAAAATATTATATATTTTTTGCACAACTTTTCTTTTGTTTTAACAAATGTAATATCTAGGCCTGGTGGTTCAGGATCTATGCTTTTGGCTTCAATTTTTGCCTCACAGTGAGAGAGAAAAAACAAAAAATTAATTAAAAAACATCATTTAAAAAAGGTAAACTAAAAGAAAAAATTGGCTTTACCTAGGAAAAGTAAACGAAATATTCTAAACAAACGTAAAAAGTTAAATGTGTACTCTCTGTTCAAGCAGGATAGATATGCTAAATAGGATTAACCGCACTATGTTTACTGTTCAAAGGGCAATGCAATGCACTACTACTTTCTTTTTATTCAAATACAACCTTTTTGTGGGTGCCTTGTTTGTAACCATGTTTTAGGTATAAGAGTGGCAAATTGTTCCATTTATCGTTTATCACATCATAATTTTACCAATTTAAAACCAATCAATTTTTTGATTTTTTTTTTATTTCAGTTAATTATAATAATAGCTTTTAATTAGTAATTAAATTATATTAATTTTGGATAATCAATTATTTATACCAACAGTGAAAAAGTCTTACTGATAGTAGAAGATTTAATTCTATGCAACAGTGAAATTGACGAATTTATTAAGGAATTTATTTTATATATATTTTTCTAAAAACCTGGTAGTAAAAATAGTTTGCAATTTTCGTCGAGGATAGCGTAGTCAAATGTAATTTTCACCGAGTTTTTTTCACAGATGTGATGTACCAGGACGTAACCTAAGGTGGTGTACGAACTCGATAGTAAAGAGAATTGAATAAAGTAGAAAACGGATTGCAGCCATTTCCAAAAGCTTTTTATTTGTAAATTTTACAATTGTAAATGTGTCGTCTATTTGGAACACAACCCGATTCCCTTTCAAGGAAAGCGGCCGTGTTAAAACCTCATGAATAAGCTGCCATTGTTACCGATAGAGCCCGGTTTCGAAGGGACGAACACATAGTATATAAAATCCAATTCTGTCACGTTAATATAATAATCTTTCCGCCTTAAGAAACAACCCGAGATTTAAAGGTGCAATATATTTTCACATAAAATGACTGACAACTTTAACAAACGATCCAGAAATGATCTGGCAAAATCTCAAAGCCGTTTAAGCGTCTTAAACTTGTTGCCATCTTCAATTTCCGAATTTCATACATTCAGTTGAAAAATTATGTGATCCGCTCGGAAATTTTTTAAATGAAGCTTGCATCCCATTTTTTCTATATGTACCGTCGAAGCGGAGGAGATAGACCTTATTAGAACCTGGAAATCGCTTTCACAACTGATGAACAACATCATACTAAAACCCATTAAGCAAAGAACGTTCAATTTCGGGGTTCAACCAAACATTGCAATCATCGTCGCATCCAGATTTCCTATACCAAATTGTCCGAAAATTAGTCTCCCTTCAAAAATATCACTACACTTAAAAATTTCGTTATTTTTTTGGTTTTTAACTTAACCAACGTTTTGTTTATATTTCTAGTAATATTATTCTTACATGAGAGACATTTGGGATTACTCATATCATTATTAAATACTGTTTACCGACAAACGAAGGATCAACTTTTTTTTGGTTCCATGTGCCTTGTAGTCAGATTTTAACTTTCGTTAGTCTCGAGTAACAGATTCTTTCTTGTGTCACTTTTAAGCCGCGACGAAACAGAATCATCACTCTCCATGTTTAAGGGAAATCATTGCGTTACACCGCTAACCGACTAGACATTATTAGTCACTTTCAAGGACCATTAGAAGGTACAGGAGGAGACTGACAGAGTCAAACCTTAGATCAGTGGTTCCCAAAGTCCCCCCAGGGGTCCCCTATCAGTCAAGGAGTCCGCGCAAGGTTTAATATAAAATAAATAATAATATAAAAATTTAATATAATATAAATAAATAATATAAAATAATATAATATAAAACAGAAGTACGTTGGTTATCTAAAAGTGCATGTTTAAATCGATATTATGCGCTTTTTGATTCAGTGTTGGAATTCCTGGAAACCAAAGACAATGATTTGGGACACAATTTATTTAACTCAAAAAATGACATAGCCTAAATGTCCGATTTATTTGCCAAATTTAACGAAACTAATTTGAAACTACAAGGTGACCAATTAAATTTAATCAAAACTAAAAGCTTAATATCTGCGTTTGTTGCAAAACTTTTTCTTTACAAACAAAACTTGGGAAGAGGAGAATGCTCTCAGTTTCCAAATCTTTCGAAATTGCAAATTAAAGATGAAGATTTGCTTGCTTATGGTCAACACTTAACGTCTCTTCATACAGACCTAAATCAAAGATTTGAAGAAATTCTTCATTTGGATATTCCCGATTTGGTGTTGAACCCTTTTGCACGTGGACAAACTCAGATCCTAAATACAAATGAATCCATACTAATACAAGAGCAGCTTATTGAAATATCCACAAATGTGGAACATAAACCAATGTTAGAACAAGGATACCACAAATTTTGGTTACAAAAACAGATCCCAATTTTATATCCTGCATTATGGGATATTGTACAGAAGTTGGTGACTGCTTTCCCGTCTTTCTATTGGTAGAACGTGGATTCAGTGCCGATATGAACCTCATCACAAAAGAAAGAAACCGATTAGAAATTATACACTCCTAACATCTCATCACGTTCATCCAAGTCATTAATTTTTTTATATTTTAGTTTAAACAAAAGTAATTAATATTATAATTTATATATATTTATAATTTATAATTTCAAAAATACTTCTTCAACAAAACGATGTTTTTTTTTTTAATTTGTATATTATGTTGTTTTTTGTGTGGCTTTTTCACTTGGGGGTCCGTGGGCAATTTTTGACTATAAAAAGAGGTCCATGGGTCAAAAAAGTTTGGGAACCACTGCCTTAGATCAAGAAAGCCCTTGAAAGGTCTTCTATTTCACAACAGAACATGGTAGAGGGATACTAAAATTTGCTAAAAAGCCAATAGTAGAACATGTAGGAATGGAAAAAAGTCGTATTCACTAATGAAACGACCGCGACCTTAGCTGCCCATAACTGTGCAAATGGCCATTTAAGACTCTGGAGAAAACTTGGACAATGCAATCAGTGCTACACGTATAAACATTGTCATTTGTAGAAGGTTTGATGTTGTGGGGCGACATTTCTTGAGAGACACGTGCCGAATTAGTTCCAACCTAGAAGGAGGCTAGAATGTTTTACGATATGTTGAAATGGTCCTACAAGGTCATTAAGTACCTTTTATGTTGGTCTTAATGTCTACGGCTCTAAGTAATTACTTATGCATAATAATGTTCGGGTACACAAGGCAAAATTCAGTTTCACCATTTCAGAGTTTCACCAACACCCAATTGATCAAGTTTAGAGCAATCTCAAAAGAAAGGTTCAGAAATCACCCTACAAACCTTGAAATGCTAAAAGGGGAATGTATTGAAGGAGTGGGACTTTTTTATTTATGTAAAACCAGATGTTTTTGTAAAATCCAAAAATCTCAGGGTATTATATTGTTGACGGGAAGTGTATATGACCGACGAAAAAATCCCGGTACTGAAAATTTCCAATATCCATTCCATTAGAATAGATCTCCTAATTCTCATCTCATCATCCTGCACTATTCCGATAAAGTTAAAGTAGCCGTGACCTGCGCGACTATAGTCTATCTGTACCAGAAGGGATTTTATTTGATAGATTTATCTTTTGTTTGTGGTATTTTGTAAACGCTTTATAAATTTTATAATAAAATTATGGAGTTTCTTTAAACTTATAACAAAATCTTTTGCGTGAATGTAAAAGATATTTAAAGCCGGCCCCGTAATCGGGCTTCATTGACTAATTTACTTTCACGAAATTTACTTGCGAAAGACCTGTTGCATTATCTTCAACTCCCAATAACACAACTTTACAACTTAGGAACCGCTCAGTACACTTTTGGTAAGGAATCATATTCAATTCTGCTATAGTATCTGTAAAAAATAAAAGCTACTATTTCAAAACCCAATACTTCCGCCTTTAAAATTGCTCGTTGTTATTAAGACAAGACTTGATAAAATGGCTGTCGTCCAGTTCATTCAAATGTGTGCTCACCAGAAAAATCTAACTTATAAATTGATTCCCACTCATCAGAGCATCCAAGAACACAAATTAGACTAGCCTTTTCATTTTTTCTTCAAAAAAAGTCGTAATTTAAATAAAGATTATTTTTACGAGGGTTCGCAACAGCAGAGGTCATATAAACCCTCAGGGTGCCGGTGTTTTTGAAAAAAAGCCCATTTGTAAGTATATCGGGTTCGAATGCAAGTCCGCTGGATTCGAACCCGGGACCTTTACTTTCCAGTGATGAGCGCTGTGTCAACGCCTAAACCATTGCGGCCACCGACGCCCCCTAAAATAAAGAAAATACGACTAGAAATGTTCAGTGTGGTTAATTAAGTTTGTCAGATCTGAACAAATATCTACTAACTAAAAACCTTTTTCGAAGAGTTAAAATATTCACGGGGTGAGGTTTTGAGTTCTACATAACTAGTACACTTTAAGAATATGTATGTTTATGTAGTCTAGATGATCGTTTGCCGTAATATAATAAATTTTTTAAATATCGACATCATCTGGAGAACTCGATTTGTGTGGCCCATTGATAGTGCTTTGTAAGCTATTTTTGCCTTTATCTCATGTACAGTTTCAATTCTCAATACTCCATAAAACTAATTAAATGTCCTCTGGTCTTTTGTTAATTTTACTTAAGTTATTTTATTATGTTTCAGTGCTATTTTTATCTTGTTGTAATGAACTGTTGAATTTTTCCGGGTTATGCTAATAAAGTCTTTTTGTTAATGAATCATGCATTATTCACCTGCATGTAATACTATATTCCTTTAAAGAATGTATTATCTTTATTTAAATACTTTTAAAGACTCGTTATAAATTATTCTTATATATCCATCGTCATCTCAATTCAGGGTAAATTAGCAATGAAAGATTAAATGTTATTGGTGGAACAATTTGGTCATATTCGTCTGTTACAATATTCCCAACTGCTTTGAATAAGTGTATTCGCAAGTAATCCATAATAATCATTGGTTCACATAACAGAGAACCAAGATATAAAAAGTGATACTCGTAGAGTAACATACTTCATAAACTTTATTTATAAGATAAGGAAAATCATAACGGAATAATGTTAGTTTAATACAAGTTTTTTCATGATATGGACTTGTCTGAAAGCATAAAAAAGCACTTTTATAGCCGCAAGTTAAAAGCAATGCATCCATTACAGCGCACTTTGCTTTTAAACAACTTATGCCCTATTTTATTGTTACAGTCGTCGTCGTCGTGGCATTTTTCATATGCTGGGCACCATTCCAAGCACAACGCCTATTCGCCCTGTATGGTGAAAACAGTTCGCCCACAATGGTCGTCTTCTACAAATTCATCACGTATATGTCTGGCCTATTGTACTACTTGTCGACCACTGTCAATCCCTTTCTTTACAACATTATGTCCTTAAAATTCAGGGAGGCATTCAAGGTATGTTTCCAAGTATTATTTTAATAACACGTTTTTATTTTGTATTTAAATAGCCTGGGTGTGATTTTTTTCTTTTGTCGATTTGCATAGATAGTATGAACAAGTCATATTACAACATCAAGAGAGATGATATTACCATTTGTTTAGATACTTTTGTTTTGTACATCATTCACGTTTATATTATCGTCATTAACGCGAACGCTAATAAAAATCGTTAAAAAAAAAGAACTGATAGATAAAGTAAGGTAACCAAAATGTTTTGTAATAAACGTTGCTGTCTTTTTATTTCTAACGATTTTGGAAAAGTCTTAATAATTACAATTCGTCTAGAAGAATTGTTGCTCAATGGAATAAAGAAGTTTTAATAAATACAAAACCATGAAGACAGCAGTTCTTAACATTAGTATAAACAATTAATTAAGGTTTTCAGTTGAGATAAAAAAGTCAATGGCACGAGCGGGATTCGAACCCACGATCTTCGGCTTGATACGCCGCTGCTCTACCACTTGAGCTATCGTGACCTCGATCCACTCGGACACCAACTTCCCATCTCAACCGCACCTTTTGAATTTTCCCTCCTTTTTGCCATTTCTCAAATGTGTAATCGGAATAAATTAATTGTAATATATTAATTGGTCAAGCGGACCACGAAATTAGTGATGTAATGATACTTGACAGTAGTTCTTAACATTAGTATAAACAAAATTTACAACTAAGGGCAAGAATTTTCTATCTTGCAGTAAAAACAAATTCACTAATTGGAAAAATCTAATTACAGAGTACTCTGACAAGATGTTTGAATGGAAGGGAAGTTCTGAGATCTGAAGGAGGCGGAGGTAGCAGTAATGGAGGAGGTCTTGGACCCAGGTTCAATTACTCAGTCCTCTCGCACCGATCCATCAGGAACAATCACAGTGTGAGCAGTCATAACATCAACAATAACAATTCCTGTAGTTCCGGAAACTCTTACGATGGAGTAGACCTGAACCGAAGGCCTTTGGTTGTCTCTTTTAAGCGGAAAAGCGCCAGAACTTCCACCACCTCTTTGGACTACCATCTCAGCCCAGAGAAACGGGAGCTCTTGCGAGTAGGCAATAAAATAGAATCGTGGTAAGATTTTTTTAAATGAATCTAATCTATCGATGTTTCAGGTACCGAAAATGGACTATCGAATACACATCCCGCCGCCGTCTCCGAGGTTGCCCCTTTGTAAGACTAAGGAAGAAAAACAGAACGGCGCGCCGAAAATCTCCCGTATAGAAGATATCGAGATCTTTCAAGAATCCCAACTGAGGATAGAGAGAAAAGGCAGGAAAAAGGAGCCAGAAGTTCAGTCCTGCTCCGAACACTCGGAAGAAAAGAAGCATTCCAGCTTCAACGAGGAAGAAGGAGACACAATGAATCTCGTAAAAAAATCGTACACAGTACCCTGCCTCATGATGAACACATCTTAGGTCAATTTGCTTGGAAAGCAGGTTTTGCCAAATGACAAATATCACACTCTTATATTCAATGTTAATACAGTGCTGTTATTATTAATTTACAAATGGGACAAGTATAAATAGTTCATTTTAATTTTAGAGATAATCCCTCCGTTTAACATGCAAAGGATTTGAAACGAAGATTAAACTTCAGAGATACGAACTGAGGACAATCAAATCCTTCGTTATCTTCCTCATAAAACGCTTAATTCCGATCTTGTTTAATTATTTCCCCACAAGAATATCGAACAAATTGTTAAACGTCAAGACGTTGTTATCCTTTGATATTACACGGCTTTCTTGAGTTTATGCAAACTAGCAAAAACTTGTTCATCCGGTAGATTGTGAAATTCTAAAGATTACCTAGAAATTCGCCTACTCATGCCCATTTCATCCTACTGTTTGAACCAATACTGTGAGTATGAGAATTTTTATACCGCTCAATTGCAGAATTAATGAAAAACTGGACCGCAATTGATGTTATGACAAAGCTGAAATGATGCTTGGTCTAGGTGTAATAAAAAAAAATTGGCAATTGCCAAGGGGCCTGTAAAAAATACAATTTTTATATATTTTCCTCTGCCATGCCGGAGTGTTTTTTAAGTACTTTTTAAGAACAAATTTCAAAAATATGAGCAAATATTATTAGCGCGTTCTGAAGAAAAACAAATTTTATCAGGGGCAAATCATTATCATAGCCAACAGTGTTTCAATTGTAAAATTCGTTAATTAAACTTAAGTTGGTAGATATCTAATGTTCATCATAGTAAAAGGAATTTCGTATAAAGTACCACACATGTTATAAAATAATAAAACATGGGAAGTTTACAGATTTGTAACATTATCATGCCCTATTTGATAATCTTTATAATCTGTTACCACTAAATTCTACCGTTGACATTGTTTGCAATGTTTCGTTATTCACTTTAAATAAAATAACATTAACATATTTATATTGAAGATATATTTCATTATAACGTTTCCATTTAGATTAATTTAGCCAAAATGTTAATAAACAATAAATAAATAACAAATTAAAAGCTTAATTTATCTATTCTTCAACAAAATTTATTAGACATTCTAACAGACCTATAGTTTGTCAAATTGTTCCATTAAATAAATGTGTACACTGGCCTTCAAATAGTAATACTCGTATTGTTACTTCAATCAGGTAAATTGGAAAAACGTGCCTTGGAAACATTTCTATTTTACAAAAAAAAAAGAAAAGATAGATGGCAGTTTTAAATAATCAATAGAACTTTAATTATTGGAATCCTTCTCTTTATACTCTGATACAGTGTAATAATAAAAATGTGAATTAAATATTAAATAAATTTTCACGTAGAAGATTTCGAATTTTCATAATTATGTTTTTTGCTTTGTCAGAAATTAAAATATTAGCATAAAAACCTAAAGATTGACAGAGAATTTTCGAGTATTCGCAATTATCAAATATCAGGTGAATGTGTATTGGAACTGTATCTGCATAACAAGATACTTCAATTACAATGAATTGCAGTTGACGTAACATGAAATTATCCCCCAATGGCCCATTAAGTTTGAAAGTTTATTTATTACACGATCATAGCAAACGAAAAATCTGTCGTAATTACCAATGCACATATAAATTGTACGTGTTAACATATGTTAGCCAAGTATATTGTTAAACCATTCAAGCTATAAACTAGCGATCGGAACGCCATTCCCATTGACTTTTCTGTGCAATTTATTAGAAAACGATATTTCTATAATTATGATTAGTTAATCTTTATCTAGCGGGGAGGGTAATTGTATGATATATTCATTTTGCATATATAATAATAAATCCGAGTGGATCGAAGTCACGATAGCTCAAGTGGTAGAGCAGTGGCGTATTTAGCCGAAGGTCGTGGGTTCGAATCCCGCTCATGACACTGGCTTTTTTATTTCAACCGATACCTTACATAAAGATTAATTAATTGAAAGAAGTTATTTGTTCAATTGGACGACGAAATATGATGGATATAATAATAAAACTGCATTTTAAAAAAACACACACAGAAACCCTGTTGCCTCCAATCAGAACTCAAAGATTCGCTACCGTACTCGGTGGCATTCCAACTCCCCTCTATATGAAGCCACTGAATGACTCCCTTTAATAAATGGTACACAATGATAAACACTAGACATACTGTACCTAGTGTATTTGAGAGTCGATGGGTACTTGAATTCCACCATTGACCATCTTGTGCTATACACACATTCACGCATGTAAATACATTTTCCTGAAACAGTTACCTCAGAATACATCTATCACCAAACTTGCCATAGGTACAATAACACCAAACCAAGATGTTTTCAGCCGTAAAAGCGATAGAAATGAGAAACCATGATAATTTTCCGAGGATTATCTTTTCTTCTTTATTGAGGAATCGTCCAGACGCCAGTCTTCCTCAGGCATGAGGATTGGCTCGACGTGGTCCCTCTGCCTATAAAAACAGATCCCTTGGTCCTCACCCGATCTTAATCGATCCAACCCTTCAAAATGGAGAGAAGTGCCTGTTCTAGTGAACAGCGTCGCGAACAAAAAGACGTAAAAAATTGGAGAAATAACATGAAATGGAGAAAAAAGCGATCCTGCGGACGTTGTTCAGAGACAAACTATTGTTGGGTTGTCCGGAAAATAATGCAGGATTTTGGTATTAAACAAAAAAAAAGAAACTAGTTACTTTAAAGCAATGTTCTTTAATCAAAATAATTTCCCATACTCTCAATACATTTCTCCCAACGTGTTGGTAACTTATTAATTCCGTCTGAGTAGAATTCAGAATTTTTAGAATTGATAAAGTCAATAAATGCATTTTCCAGTTCCGTTTGATTTTTGAATATTATGTGTTGTAAGTAGTGGTCCAGGTGTCTAAAAAAATGGTAGTCAGTAGGCGAGAGGTCCGGAGAGTAGGGTGGGTGAGGCAAAGTTTCATAGCCAAGCTCCAATAATTTTTGTGACGTTACACGTGACACATGTGGTCGAGCGTTGTCATGCAACAAAATGGGCCCTTTCCGATTGACCAAAGAGGGCTTCATTACTGCCAATTTCTGATGCATGGTATTAATTTGGTTACAGTATGATTCAGCATTGATGGTTTCGCCAGGATTTAAGAAGCTGTAGTGTATTAAACCAAATGAAGCCCACCATACCGTAACCATTACCTTTTTTTGATGAGTTGGGGGCTTTGGAAAATGTATTGGAGCTTCTCCTTTGTCGAGCCACTGTCCAGAACGTCTAGTGTTATCGTAGAGAATCCACTTTTCGTCACATGTAACAATTCTGGCCAGAAATGGGTCATTTTTGTTTCGACAAAGAAGTGATGCACAAACATCAAAGCGCTGATTTTTTTGGCGATCGTTTAATGAGTGTGGAACCCAATTTTCGAGTTTTTTCACTTTTCCAATCGCCTTGAGGTGGTCAGCGACGGTCGTTTTACTGACTTTGAGTTGCTCTGCAAGTTCTCGAACAGTTGTTTTGGGGTTTTCTTCCACCACTGATCGCAGAACATCATCATTAAGAGAGGAAGGCCTTCCACGACCTTCTTCATCTTCAAGGCTGAAATCTCCCTCCCGAAATTTTTTAAACCACCTTTGCACAGTGCACTCATTAACACAACCCTCGCCCCAGACTTGGTTAATGTTTCTAGCCGTTTGGGCTCCGCTTCGGCCGAGTTTAAACTCGTAAAAGAAAATCGTACGAAATTCTCGCTTTGACATTATAAGGATGACTGAATTATTTCCAAGTAGCGGAATGCTACAGAGGTAAACAAACAATATCATTTGGAAGAGGATTAATAAGTGTTGACATTCATACAAATGAGTAATCCTGTAAACGTAAACAGAATATTTTATATAGATTTTTTTTAATGAAAACTTAAAATCCTGCATTATTTTCCGGACAACCCGATAACTAAATTCGTAAGCCTAACATCCCGGTAATTTACCGGCAACAACAAGGTGGCAGCATGTTACAACACCCTCAATTATTCTATTCTTTTATCTCAACTAAAAACCTTAATTAACCCTCAATTATGTTGGATACATTGAATTTATTAGAATAACACTGTTTCATCGCCTGGCAAAATAACTATGAAAGTAATTTGTGTTAACAACTCTTTCTGTTGAAGTTTTGAACAAAGAGGCTTGCCACAGTTTGAGATGTTGTGATACTATACTGAAATATGACAATACCAATGTTTTCTTCAATCATCAAAATATGTAATAACACCTTTATTGTAACTTTCATGATAATAGAATTTCTTACTGACAAAGTTATAAAGTCGCGTTACTTCTATTTATAGCAGATTAATGATTCCTACGTTGACATATTAATTTGAAAACCGATAGGCAGATATTTGGTTTAAACGAACGCAAATAAAACACCACCTTTTAAAATAAAAATCATCACTCGAACCGCAGAGTTAAGAGTATATAGAATATAGTGGTATGTCATAGTAAATATTTGCACAGGCCTTGATCTAAAATCAGGAGTCATAACCGTGTCTCTATACGAATTTTCTATTTATATCAAGATTAAAAATAATACATTAACACATAATAATACATTAACAAAATGATCATAAAATGTTTGTATGCTGCATCATCATTCAGTAATCTTTAACATTTGGCGGGTTATTATGGATTTTAATTCCACTAAATATACAGTCGGATTAAAAAAAGACTCCAATACTATTAATTAAAATTCTACACTTCCATATTTTTAATGGAAACCACGACTCTACGAACCGAGAGCCAGACGCTCTAACACCGGCTACCCCAGTCCCCATCAGTATTAATTAGTGTTTAATTTAAATGCTATTGATTCATGTCAAAAAACATACATTCTAATTAAAAAATATAAAATGTTTAATAAAAATTATTAATATGAAGTGATAGGGACAATTGGACAATATAGGATAATTAATAAAAACAGTGTACAGACTAATATGTTCTGTAACTGTTATAAGATGCAAAAATTTGGTATTGGTTAATTGCTAGTGAATAGATTAACTATGAACATATTATCATTTAGTTCATATAGTCATCGATGGGTCCGCTTATATTCTTTGTTCTGATAACACGTTCAACTTTGCCTGAGGTACATGTACCTCCGGGAAAAAATTAGTTAACTATAAAAGATTTAAAAGAAATGCTTTGTAAATGATGTTATCTTTAACACGCATCAATTGTACATTCAGTAAACTGATAACGTTAAAAATTTTGAAAGATAATAAAGTTTACTCGACTTTTAAACTTCACTCAATTTATTTTTACGTATTCATTATATTTTCAAAACGAAAACCACTGCTCATTCAGTCCCAAAGGAAATATTCGTCGGGCAGGGAAATGCTTTGATATAAGGATTTACTATTTTAAAAAAATCATTTCTATTCATGGCATATTTGAACAGTTTCCCCCTTACTTCGACTTTTAAGGAAAGTCGCATAGGAATTGAAATATATACACATCACCATGCAGCTGACAAGAATCGCTATGGTCTATGCAGAAAAATAATGATATTAGCGACAGTTTCACAAGGCGTACGGAGGTTTAGGGCATGACTATGAAGTCATTACAAAGTTCAATTGTTGTTTAATTATTCATTGTTTGGCCTAAATAGATAAAACTTAAATCCAATATAAAACAAACGGTAAAATAAGTGCATAACATTTTCTAACCATTAGCATTATACTTATTTTTATTGACAGTTAATCTAATCGAACTATTAACTAAAAACGAGTTAATCTAAACTAAACTAAAAACCAGTTATTAAAATCCAATAAATTGATATTTTGCTGTTGAAAAATAACACGTCTGTTGTATTGTAGAATCTCCTACCATTTAATTTAAAGCCTCGCTGTTTAACATCTTCACCACAGTCAAATTAGTAAAATGATGCTCAATAATACTAAAAGAGTTGGATATTTTTTTAAATTTTATTTCAAAGAGTGCCTTTGA